TAGGAGCAAGGACGCTACTAGGGGCTCCTGGCCTTACTACTAGAAACAAGAGGACGCTACTGGGGAACCTGGGCATCGCTACTGACCTTACTAACTACTAGTAACAAGAGGACGCTACTTTTTTTAAACAGCCCAATGGTTGGGGGATGTTGTGGGTCGGAAGATGTTGTCTATTCCTTTCGAACAGGTTCATGTATAGAGTTGCAGAGACCAGATGTTTTGCTTGGTGAGAAGGGATCTGGCACATGTTTTCCCTGTGCACACGACGTAATTGTAATTATATATATACTTAAATATACAAACACTTTCAACACGTAAGGCAGCAAGACAACAGATCATTCGTTAGTTTTCGCAACGTATTTTTTTTGGCTATGTGGGCAACATCTTTAAACACCTGGCCGGCCAATCTCAACCCCATTTTTCAACGAAGGCGCGAGAGATTGAGAGATATTCTGAGGTCTTCGGCTCTTCTTTGCATGCAAATGAAGGAGGCGTAAGTGCCAGCCAAACGACTGAAGGCAGCGTGGCGCCTTTCAGTATGAGGCCAGAGATCGGTGCCTCTCCGCCAAGAAGAGTTTTTCGTGTATCTCGGGAAAATCTGAAGATTCTAAAACTAAATCGTATTTAAATACCCTTGATTCCATTTCATTGTATACGCCTACGCAAGTGCCTACGCACCAATTTGAAGCGGTGAACTGGAACTTTGCACCGGGGCATTTACTGGCAGACCAGACGTTTCTGAACACTCACTAGGTGCATCTAGGTGCCCTTGGGCCTGGCTAACTCGAGGAAGCATCCATTCTGCGTGGCCATCGGCCATCGCATAGAACTTCATAGAACTGCCATAGAGCTTCTTTTGGAGTGCTTTAAAGAAGCTATATACTAGTAGCAAAGGGCATTGCTATTAGTAGCTAATTTGCTACTAGTAACAAGAAGCTACTAGGGGCTCTTGGCCTTACTACTAGTAGCATTCTTACTACTAGTAACAAGAAGCTGTCACCTTTTGGTCGAATCCGCATGGAGAGACTCTGGGATCGATATGGATGGATGCTCGTTTTCCGCTTGAGACAAAAACGCCCCATGGAAGGGGCATGAAGGGGCCCAGAACTCTGTGAAACAGGAAGGGAGTGGAGCCCGAAAGACTGGATGCGGAACTATGCGGTCACAGAATTCAATATGATGAAATCATATCGACTCTATTATGCTTTGTTTGAACTCCTGTTCATCGCTCTAAATCACCTTTCCGGCAAATACAACCTTCGACTCCTGAAAGAAAATCGGAAGATGTTTTCTGACCTGTTTTGATGTGATATCTAATCCATTGTTGGTGAGTTAGTAGTACAGCTGTTTGAAATTTGTGGTTCAACAAGGCGTGATGCCCCACAGAAAAGCGTCGCAGGTCGAGACTCTGAGGCCCCTTTGAGAGCGGGGACGGACGGGCGTGGAAGCAAAGCACCCCCAAGCCATAGAGACCATGGCCCATACATAGACGAACACCTCCACATCGACAAGTGCATCCGTATCTCGAGCAATCCAACATCAAGCTGGACATGCGGATTTGATGTCCTTCCAATGGGGGACATCAAGGCCGGCAATTGGTGCAGATGAGAGAACTCAGTGGGCAATCCGAGGGTGGCACTGGGAGACCTTCTTCTGGGGAAGTTTGTATGCCAGGGAGTATATAATGGAGATTTTGAACAACTGACCACAATTCAGGGATCAGGATCGCAAGTCTGGTGTTTGGTGTTTTGTCCCGCTTGATTGTCGCTCGCGTGTCCTCAGCAACGAAGCGGGCGTTTTGCAGGATTGGCTAGTGAAACAGCTGATTAGTTCTGTGGATTGTTGCCGAAGAGGGCGCTTTGTTGAGCTTACAGTGGACAGAGATCGAAGAAGTGACTATGCTAGAGAGAGAGAGAGAGAAATGATGCTTTGTAGTCGAGTCATGTAGGTCCTTATCAGGACCTTTGCAAGCACACTGCACAGTTGTTCAAACGCCCAAGAATACTTTTAACACGTGGATGTGCAGGGACGACAAGTCCAATGTAGCATCTTCCACTTTGCACATTGGAGTTGCCTGCGTATGAAAGGAGCAACAGTCAGGGTGTATGAAGCTTTATATTATATAGTCTCTTTTTCCTTGATACCCAAGATGGCGGTATGCCTGGAACACTACATCGAGTTGGCTATGTTTGTCCTGCTTTGCCCCCTGGTGCTCTACTGCGAGCTTTAAGCAGCACTTGTTTGCACCTTTGGTACATAGTACAGGACACAGCAGATGTTCGGCTGCTGTTTCAGAACTGGGCAAATGCTAGGGCTCAGTTTAGAGTTGAGCCAGGGCTTCCACCACAGAAACTCACAGATACTCACAGTGGCTTGTCTCTCAACTGAGATTGACTCTGCTAGCTGGCCCGTCACAGCGCGTCGAAGCATTCCCATTCCCGCGCAAAATTGTACAGGAATGTCGCACAATTGAAGCAGAGTTGAAATGTTCAGCCAAAAGTCCAGTTCTAGGGATATTGTATAAAGTCTGCAATATGTATAAGATCATATTTATGTGTATATATATAAATACATAAGATCTTTTGTGGGCAACAGTTTGAAGGCATTATGTTTAGCTCAGTAAGTCAGCTTCCCGTCATTCAAACATGTTTAGCTATAACGGTATGTTACGACTCGCCCTCAGCTGTTTTGGGCCTCTTTCTGCTCCACGACTTTGCAACTCTGCCAATCCAGTACTCCTATGGTTACATGGCCTGGTCTTCCAAAAGATTTGAGAACACGTAATCACAGACTTCAGTGGTTGGAACAAGGAAAGACCAATTTTCGTGCCGTTCCACGCTCCGGCTTTCTGAGGGCCCTGTGAGACAGCAAGTGAACGTTAAGCAAACAGAACCAAGAGAAGAAAGAAAGGGAAGGGCCCTTCTCTGCAAGAAGCTCTCCCTTCAAGAAATTGCCCTTGTTAAAGGGGCCTTTCCCTTCTTTGTCCTTCTCTTGATGGATGCTGTCAGAGAGAATGGCCAGGGCCTTCAGTGTCCTACCATGGCTTGGCGCCGGCAAAACGAGACTGCCAATCGACCCTTCTCTTCAGCTCTTGTCGAACTTGAATGCAATCAAAAGCAGTGCTGATCACTGCTGGTTGGTCAGGTGACAGGTGGAAGGCTAATCAAAGCGGAAGCTGCATGCTACTTGCGTTTTTGGGAGTATTTCTACTTGACAATAGAGCACTGTACTTGCCCAAGGTCCTGGACTTACTCCTTGCTACTAGCAAGCAAGCCTTCTACACTGCCCCTTGCTTGCTAGGTTTGAGCTCACGCACTCCACGAACTTGAGCCGTTTATTGCTTATGACAGCGAAAGTGAGCTGCATGGCAACAACAGGTTTCTCAGTCTCTCCGACAGTCTCTCCTTTTTGTGTCCTCTTTCTCTTTCTCTCTCTTTGCCCAAGGTTTTATTCCTGGACGGTTCGACATAAATTACAGTCGTCAGATTCCAGTTGGAGTATTGTTAAATTTGCATCTTGGCATTCAATGTGTTGGAACATCCATTTCGCAGGGCTATGTGAAGATATCACATTGTAAGAACAAAAGCAACGCAATGCCATACACACATAGCCACCAGCATCCTTTGTGGTGATCTCGGCCCAATTGATCCAGCTATATCCAGCTCAGCCATGGCCTTGCGGCTCTCCATCTTTCGGGCCCTGACCATCAAGTTGAATGGAAAAGCGATGACAAACGGAGTGACCGTTGCTCCTAGTAGCGATGCCCTTTGCTCCTAGTAGCGTTCTTGTTCCTAGTAGTACGGCCAGGAGCCCCTAGTAGCGTCCTTGCTATATGTGATCATGCCGTATCACATCATATATTCATAGATCATCATATATGCCTGAAAATGGGATCGATGCGTACCTGGCAAGGTGGAGTCTCCTGCACGTGACTTGTAGAGTGATGGACGTGACCGAAGCATTAGTATTGTTCTCAAGCATCAAGAGACTGAAGTGATTGAGTTGAGTTCAGTTGCCCAAATTGTGTCCGCAGGCAATGGCCAAGGCCGCCCCAAAGCCCAAGACAAGTTCAAGGTTTCGAACTCAATCCGCAACTGCCCATGACACCAGCTGTGCAGGTAGATCCAGGTAAAGATGTGAAGTTCGCACGTCAATTCAGCTCTTTCTGAGTGCCTGTGTGTTGTGTGACCAAACCATGGAGCACAATAACTTCCCCTCGCAACAGTCCTTGTCCAACTGGACCATTTATATGCTGTAAGGGAAAGAAGCCAATTCCAGATGTGTGTACAAAGACTCTGGTATTGAATATGATGCTTGGGGACTTTGACACGATATCTTTGCACAGCTTTTTCTTACTAGAGCTTCTTTCTTTGAGGCCAAGTTCGGCAAAGGCTGGTATGATTTTTGTCCGTTAACCAGGAGGGAATGGGAGTGACTGGCTGTTGTATTTCCATCTCCGTCCGAAATGGTACTTTTCCATTTGAAAACCTCGATCTACAGCGCTGTTGGGGAAGGCTGCAGGACTGCTTGCAAATTCACTGCGAGTTGTTTGAAGGTGCAAAGTACAGCACCAGCAGTACAGCCTCCACCGCCAGCGGCACCTGGACCATCCTACGATTATTCCCAGGCCCAGTTGATGTTTGAGCCGTCATCTCCAAATTCCTTTTCTTGCAAAGAATAACACAAAGGTACAATACTACGTAAATAATATAGATGTATATAAGCATATATATATAAATATATATATATATATCATATTTGATATGTATTGCACATTGTTGGTGGTCGGTACTTTATAGCACATTTTAGTATTCCAACCCTATGAGAAGACTTTAGACTTTAGGTCCACGGCACATGACTGAGCTCGACCGGAGAGACCTCGTCTCCGCATATGTTGATCGACTGCATTCATACATATTCATACGGTGCAATCAAAGCCGCAGAGTTCTTCCAGGCTCATCAAAGTAGTGGTGGCGGCGGTGGCATCATGTGACCTTGAAGATCACGAGACCGGAAAGAATGTGCAAGGAGCTGTGGACCAGGACATGCACAGGGGTTTACAATTGTCTTGGGTGCCTTGTGTTTATTCGCATGTTTTTTTTTTTTTGTGTGTTGCTAAGGTTGTGCAAGGTTATGGGACAATGTCATGACTTTCTGTCTTTGAGCAACTGCAAGGTACCAAATCCTCCTTGGCATGGGCAGCATGTTTGGAGCCGGGCTGTCAGAGTGTGACCAAGAAAAGACAAGGTGCACAAGTATGATGCAGTATGTATGTATTTGTCTTTTCTTGATAGGGCCCCTGTAGGGCTGCATAGAGAAGGACATCTTCGTGACTCTGTGCCTTTTCAAGCAGGCAAGTTCAATTGGCAAGTCACGGCCAGTCCTAATCTGAGGTCATTATCGCGATAAACCTAGCCTGGGACCTGGTTGGTGATCAGCCTTAGCAACAACGCTTTGCTCTCTTTGCCCTCCGAATGTTGAGATCCTTGCTGCTTCTTCAAAAAGCAATATTCATAGAAATGAGCCCCGACACCGATCCTCTTTTTAACAACTTTGACTTTATTAACTTTGGTGTATGGGGTTAGGAAAGAACTTTCTTTCACGGTCTGGGATACTGTGGTATGTTACCGCAGGTGTCGCGCTTGCTGGGGCCACGGAAAATCACAGTGATACACAAGGAGCCAGCCCGAGAACTGAGAGTACTGAATAGGATTAGGATTGCTATTGGCTATTTGGTTGGAGGCCATCGCTATTAGGTTGGAGGCCATCACTACTAGGTCTAGGTTGGAGGCCATTGCTATTAGGTTGGAGTTGGAGGCCATTGCAATTAGGATTCTCTCTCACAGACTTCATTGTTACTTTGTCTTTGACATGCCGTAGGACAGCGAAGGGAGGCAGGAGGGACAAACTCGGCATGGCTGCAGTCTATTCCAGTTTGCAGTTACTGCATGTTGAGAAATAGCAGCAGTGCCTCTTCTTTTAATACAACCCTCCATCCTCTTCCGGAAGCATTATGCCACGGCATGTTAGTTTGGTATTCAAGAGCGTTTTTGGCATTTGATGCGCAAAGCTTGAGGGAGACCCATGCTGCTTTCTTCTTCATACAATCAGGAAACCAATCGAAAAAAAAAATAAATAAAAAACAAAAAAAATCAACTCACATTCAAGCTTGTCCTTGAATGTCCTTGAAGTTGATTTAGACTCATTTGAGATTTATTGTATATACATAACTATATATATAATATATATGTATTACTTTTCCTCACACATTGAGGGCCAGCATCAAAATAATGGCAATGTGCACTGATCATAATGGCAAAGGAATTGAGGCAAGACCGTTTGCAAACGTGCCTAGATCAATCAAACCTTTCTTGGGTGTTGCCGTTGTTGTTGTTGTTGTTGCAGTTATAAA